GGGAGCACATTGTTCCTTTCTAAAGCAGTGCAATTGTAAGCGCTTGATGCAATCGTATGAGTAAATGGAATGCTGCTCAGGACACAGACATGCTGCAGAAATGAGGCCAAAACAAATGAGGAACTTTCATTTCCATTTAAATAGCTACATGGAGCTGCAGTGGCTATATTTAGAGCAGGTCTAGGGGATGCTGATAGTAGTGTAGCTTTGTGTATGTGTTTACGCGCACACATGCGTGCTTATGTGTAGTCGGCACGTGTATGCATGTACTTGCACACACACATATACATAAAGCCAATTACTAGGGCTTGGACTCAGGACCTCTCTTTTGATTAGCTCTCTGATCTACCACTTGAGCCACACCTCCACTTGTACTGTTTATGCTAGCTAATTGGAATACTCAGATTTGTCTGCTGGCCTAGATCCTCAGTGCTCAGATCTTAGCCTCCTGAAGAAGCTAACATTACTGGTGTAAGCCAATAGTATCTGACTATTGTAGGGTTTTTGTTTAGTACTGAGGTTTGATCTCAGGGCCTTATACTTGCCCAGCTTGCTTGCTCAGCAGATGCTCTACAAGTTGAGCCATACCTACAGCCCAGCATTTTGCTGGAGGGGGGGGGTCATTTTAGAGATGGAGTCTCTCAGACTTCTGTCGTTGAACTTCAGTCCTCCAGGTCTCAGGATTACAGGCATGAGGTAGTGCCTAGCTTGGTTCTGTTCTTGTTATTCTTGTTCGTTTGTTTTAAGGATTATGTCATTTAAGTGTACTGAATTTGTGGGAGTCTCTCAGGGAAGAGAGACAGACAGCTTTGTTATCAACGGGAACTTGACCTTACATTTTTGTCTTTGCTTCTTCCTGGCTATGTGGCCAGGTTCACACTGATGAACATTTTTAAGCTTCAGTGTTTCCATCTGTAGGGTGAGGATTGTGATATCAGCCTTCTGGCTTTGTATGACTGCTCAGGCAGGGCTTGTACTTAATGTAAGCTCAGTATGTGGAAACCATGGTTATTTATTATTCAGATAATGGTGGTTATATCAGAGTTTAATATGCAATCACAGTTCTTTACTACTAGTCTACCAATTAGAGAATATAATTATTTTATCCCTGTCAGATGCCAGGGATTCTGATGTATGTGTCGCATAAATATATGTTTTTTCTTTTGTACCAGCACTGGAGATTGAACTCAGGGCCTCAAATTATAGCTTGGCTTTTGCTCACAACTGGCACTCTCCCACTGTAGCCACACCTCCACTTCTAGCTTTGTAAGGTTAATTGGAGAAGAATCTCTTAAGATTTATATGACTGCTCTAGCTTCAAACCTTGATCCTCAAATCTCAGCCTCCTGAGTAGTTAGAATATAGACATGAGCCATGATCACCTAGCTAAATATATGTTAAACATTTACAATAATTAGAATCCAATGAGCTGAGGGTGGGAAAACTCTGAAATAATTTCTTTGCATTTTATGGTTCAGATAACATAGGTCTTCAAGAGGGATTCAAGGGTCCCAAACTTTTTTTCTTGTTTTGTCAGTTGTGGGGCCTGAATGTTGAAGCCTCTGTGTTCAAGGCTACCACTCTACCACTTGAGCCACAGCTCCACTTCCAGTTTTTGAGTGGTTAATTGGAGATCAGAGTCTCATGAGGGCTTTTCTGCCTGGGCGGTCTTGAAACTGTGATTAGGACTATAGATGTGAGCCACTGGCACCCATCTCCAAGCTGTCTTTTTGTTGTATACAGACTTTGGATGTCTGAGTCATGTATAGATTTTGTACTACTGTAAGGACTGGGTACCTAGACTTTGTAGGATATAATTTTCAAAAATAAATTCAAAGGTTGGGCACTGGCAGTTCATGCCTATAAACCTAGTTACTCAGAAGCCTGAGATCTGATGATCACAGTACAAAGCCAGTCTAGGCAGGAAAGTCCATGAGATTCTTATCTCCATTCAAACACCCCAAAAAGCTAGAAGTGGAGCAATGGCTGAAGTGGTAGAGCACTAGCCTTGAGCAAAAAGCTCAGGAAGAGAGCCCTGACCCTGAGTTCAAGCTCCAGGATCAGCAACAAAAAAATTCATTCATTCATTCATTGATTCATTCAAAGAGGTTTTTGGTGCTAACCATTTGCAGACAGGCTTCTTTTTTATTTTGCTCAATTGAAGTGAAGCCACAAAAAAATTAAAAACTAACAGAGCAGTGGAACTGACTGGATTGCCTCCTTGTGTCTTTGCTTCTCCCTTCTCCCAGATGTGACATTTGCTGCATCACGTTTCGAACACATAGGGGACTGCTGCGCCACAATGCACTTGTCCACAAACAGCTTCCCAGGGATGCTATGGGAAGACCTTTTATCCAGAACAACCCTTCGATTCCTGCTGGCTTCCATGACTTAGGATTCACTGACTTCTCCTGTAGGAAGTTTCCTCGAATTTCTCAGGTATTCTTTTGGAACCCTTGAGCTTGTAGCTACATGGAGGGTTCATGAACTAAGACTAAACTGCCTTGCCCTGAAGTTCCCTTTCTTGTTTTTTTGTGATATTTTTTGTTCTGATTTTTTGTTTTGGTTTGGTTTGGTTTTTGCCAGTCCTGGGGCTTGAACTCAGGGCCTGGGCGCTGTCCCTGAGCTTCTTTTGCTCAAGGCTAGTGCTCTGCCACTTGAGCCACAGCGCCACTTCTGGCCTTTTCTATGTGTGTGGTACTGAGGAATTAAACCCAGGGCTTCATGCATGCAAGGCAAGCACACTACACTCAGTCACATTCCCAGCCCCCCTCTCTCTTTAAAATGTTATCAGTTGCATTTCTTTTTTGTGGTCAGTCCTGGAGCTTGAACTCTGGGCCTTGGTGCTGTCCCTGAGCTGCTTTTTGCTTGAAGTTAGCACTCTACCACTTGAGCCACAACACCAGTTCTGGCTTTTTTTAGAGTAGTTTATTGGAGATCAGAGCCTCACTGACTTTCCTGCCAGTGTTGGTTTTGAACCACAGTCCTCAGATCTCAGCCTCCTGAGTATTTAGGATTACAGATGTGAGTCACTAGTACCCAGCTGGATTTCATCTTTTTATAAAGCCATTTTTCTTAAAATTCAAGTTGGCCCTTTCAGTCTCCCTTGGTTTTATTGGGCTGTAAATCTAGCTTACTACACACTGCCTTTTGCCCATTCATTGGGGCTTTGTAATGTAGCACAGAGAATTGTTCACAATCCCTACTCAAGCCCTACTTGAAATTTAAATTTATATGTTTAAACCTTTCTTTACTATCTACATCGCAGCTAGATATTTTTAGGATTGTAAAAACTTAGAAATCCTGCTAAATTCTGTTAAAAAATACCTTGTATTATTGGCTTAAATAAGAAGAGCCATATTTGTTCTCTGCTTATACAGAATCTGCTAAGTCTACTTGGAAGTTATTTTTCCCCCATACTATAAACTTGAGCTAGGAAGTATCAACATTAAAGCTCCTCAGGTGCACAAGACTCAAGTTCAGTGGACTGTTCCACGTGTGTGCCAATCAACAGCCCCCTGACTGGCGATCTTCCCTCCTGCCCCTCCCACAGCAATGTCCCCTCACAGAGGTGGCCAGTCCCCTAACCCCTGTCACTCCTAGCCTTGTGAGGCATCATTTTCCAAAGGAAAGAATTCTGCCTTTCTTTACGTCAGCATCTTCCTGATGAGGATGCTCTTGATTGATCAAAGCATCTTTTGATACTTTGCCATTTTTTTCCTTCTGTACTCAGAGGTGAGTGATCATTTTATTTTGTTGCTCTTTATTATTATTTAAAAGTAGTTGAACAAAGGAGTTTCAGTTTAACATGTCAGTTTATGAGTAGTGCATCTTGATCAGTTATTTTTATTTTTTTTTAACATTTTTATTAGCTTACTTAAACTATACAGAGAGGAATTTCAGTGTTATATTCCAGTGCAAGGCCTTGAGTTCAGAGGCCTTGTATTATCACTAGGCTGTTTCACTCAAGGCTGGTGCTTGAGCCACACCTGTACATCTAGCCTTTCTGCTGGTTAACTGAAGATAAATCTTGGATTTGACTGCCCAAGCTGGCTTGGAACCCTGATCCTCAGATCTCAGCTCCCTAAGTAGCTAGGCTTACAGAAATGAGCCACTGGTACCTAGCACTTTCCAATGTTTCTAATTCAGACCCAGATTACCAATCAGGGAAAGGTCAGTTCCTTAGATATTAATAGAGAAAGCTGCATACTCAGGCAGCAAATACTTCTTGCATCTCCCATCTTCACCTTTGTTCCCTTGCTTTTTCTGGTGGGTTCCACACAGGCCTGGTGTGAAACAAACCTACGAAGGTGCATCAGCGAACAGCACCATTTCGTCTGCGACACCTGCGACAAGGCATTCCCCATGTTCTCTTCGCTCACCCTACATAAGCAGACACACAGTGCCGTGGACCAGGGACGGGAAGAGCTGCAGGCCAAGACCCTGGCTGGTGATGCCGTGGACCAGAAGGTTTTTTTGGCCTTGCTGGGCCTGCAGCACACCAAAGATGTCAGGCCTGCCCCTGTGGAGGAATCCCTGCCGGATGACAACCAAGCAATACAGCTCCAGACACTCAAGTGTCAGCTACCTCAGGACCCTGGCTGCACCAGCATGCTGAGTCTGTCTCCTTTTGAAGCTGCTTCTCTAGGCGGTTCTCTCACAGTCCTCCCAGCTACTAAGGAGAACATGAAGCATCTATCCCTACAGCCCTTCCAGAAGGGCTTCATCATCCAGCCAGACAGTAGTATTGTGGTCAAGCCCATCTCTGGGGAGTCGGCCATTGAGCTGGCAGACATCCAGCAGATTCTGAAGATGGCAGCCTCGGCTCCCCCACAAATCAGTCTTCCGCCTCTGTCCAAGGCCCCTGCAACCCCCCTGCAGGCCATTTTCAAGCACATGCCTCCTCTGAAGCCAAAGCCCTTGGTCACACCCCGGACAGTAGTGGCTACCTCCACACCCCCACCTCTGGTCAATGCACAGCAGGCCTCCCCGGGCTGCATCAGCCCCAGCCTCCCACCACCGCCCCTGAAGCTCCTTAAAGGGTCTGTGGAGGCAGCCTCCAATGCCCACCTGCTGCAGTCCAAGTCCGGGGCCCAGCCAAACATGGCCCCACAGCTCTTCCTACAGCAGCCAAGGGTGGAGCTGCCAGGCCAACCTGAGATGAAAACACAGCTGGAGCAGGACAGCATCATTGAGGCCTTGCTGCCCCTAAGCATGGAGGCCAAGATCAAGCAGGAGATCACAGAGGGAGACCTTAAGGCCATTATGACCGGACCAGGGGGCAAGAAGACACCGGCTATGCGTAAGGTGCTCTACCCCTGCCGCTTCTGCAACCAGGTGTTTGCCTTCTCTGGAGTCCTGCGTGCCCATGTGCGCTCCCACCTGGGCATCTCACCCTACCAGTGCAACATTTGCGACTACATCGCTGCAGACAAGGCCGCGCTCATCCGCCACCTGCGCACGCACAGCGGGGAGCGGCCTTACATCTGCAAGATCTGCCACTATCCTTTCACCGTCAAGGCCAACTGCGAGCGGCACCTGCGCAAGAAGCACCTCAAGGCTACCCGCAAAGACATCGAGAAGAACATCGAGTACGTGAGCAGCAGCACGGCGGAGCTGGTGGACGCCTTCTGCGCGCCGGACACGGTGTGCCGGCTGTGCGGGGAGGACCTGAAGCACTACCGTGCCCTGCGCATCCACATGCGCACACACTGTGGCCGCGGCTTGGGCGGCTGCCACAAGGGCCGCAAGCCCTTCGAGTGTAAGGAGTGCAGCGCCGCCTTCACGGCCAAGCGCAACTGCATCCATCACATCCTCAAGCAGCACCTGCATGTGCCCGAACACGACATTGAGAACTACGTGCTCGCAGTGGATGACAACGGCGGCCTGGGCCCTGCAGAGACCCCTGCCGAGGCCTCCGGGAGGGGCCAGGAGAGCGGCTGTGCTGCCTTTGGTGACTGCAAGCCCCTGGCTACCTTCCTGGAGCCTCAAAATGGCTTTCTTCATGTGAGCCCCACCCAGCCCCTGCCTCACCACGTCTCCGTGAAGTTGGAACCCGCTAGCAGCTTCCCAATGGACTTCAACGAGCCTCTGGACTTTTCTCAGAAGGGCCTGGCCTTGGTCCAAGTGAAGCAGGAAAATGTTTCCTCTTTCCTGAGCCCTTCTCCCTTGACCTCCCCCTATGACTGCTCCATGGAGCCCATCGACCTGTCTATCCCCAAGAACTTCAAGAAAGGAGACAAGGACACACTTCCTCCCAGTGAAGCCAGGAAGCTCGAGCCGGAAGCTGGGAACGCTGAGCAGCTCTCTCCCTGCCCACCACCTTGCCCTACCTTGCCAGTGACTGTAGGGCCCACTGGGATCCTGGAAAACCCCACGGGCACTGTGGTGGCTGCCACCACAGCGGCCCCCCTGGAACCCCACACGCAACCCCTGCAGGGTTCGGTACAGCTGGCGGTCCCCATCTACTCCTCCGCTCTCATCAGCAGCCCTCCCCTCTTAGGCAGCGCTGCCCTCATAAACAACTCTGCCCTCTTAAGCAACCCAGCCTTGCTGCGGCCGCTGCGGCCTAAACCCCCACTCCTCTTGCCAAAGCCCCCCATGACGGAAGAGCTACCCCCACTGGCCTCCATTGCCCAGATCATCTCATCTGTGTCATCAGCCCCCACCTTGCTGAAGACCACAGTGGCAGACCCAGGGCCATCAAGCTCGGCTGCTGCTGCTGCAGACAGTTCAGGAGGCTCCATCCCCAAAGCCACCATTGCCCCCTCAGACACCACAAGCCCCACTGCATGCAGTGACCCCAGAACCAGCAGCCCAGAGGCGGTATCACCTACTGAGCCAGGGCCAGCTAGCTTATCCAAAAAGAGGGGCCAAAGAAAGGGGATGAGGAGCCGGCCCCGTGCCAACAGTGGCGGTGTAGACCTGGACTCCAGTGGGGAGTTTGCCAGCATTGAGAAGATGCTAGCCACCACAGACACTAACAAGTTCAGTCCATTTCTGCAGACTGCAGAGGACGATGCTCAGGATGAGATAGCTGGAGCTGCCGCCGACCACCACGGGCCCAGCGATGAGGAGCAGGGAAGTCCTGCCGAAGACAGGCTGCTAAGGGCAAAGCGGAACTCCTATGCCAACTGTCTACAGAAGATCAACTGTCCCCACTGCCCCCGGGTCTTCCCTTGGGCCAGCTCTCTCCAGAGGCACATGCTCACACACACTGGTAAGAAGGCCCCCAGGGCTCACTGGGTGGTGAGTCCTACCTCTTGGCAGGAAGGCCATTCAGGGAAGGGATGAGCAAGGGCTGTGGAATTAAATGTCTAGGACCTATTTCCTACACTCCATTCATCCTTCCTCCCTTCTGTTCTTATTCTTAGAAGCCAGTCTTTGCCTGGGGATGATGTTCTTTCCCTTCTGCTTTTAGATACCACATGACCCAGCCTATGGAAGCCACTAAGGGTAGCTATTGAACGTATTCAAGAGGGTGTTTTCATGTTTAAGTAATAATCATAGGCCTGTAGCCTCCCTCAGTTCCTTCTGTCCATCCCCTACCCTAAGAAGGTTTGAGATTTATCTGCAGGGTTAAGCATGGAGGTGGCTCCAGAGAAGTGGGACTTTGTATTAAAGTATTGGAGCATAATGTGCTCAGTGCTTTGCCATGAGAAATTCCATCCTGGTATCCTCAATACAGCTTTTGAAATTCTGAACACTCAGTGGAGTTCTTTTGCCCACCATGTATCTGTAAAGGGAAATGTTACCTGTTTCTTTCCTCCCACTTGAGGTGCTTACATCTTCTGTTTATTTTGATTTTTTTTCTTCTGTTTAGTTTGAAAATTGGTGATGGGTGGTAGTGGAATTTTAAAAATTTTATTTATACTAAGAAGTCTGCTGTTCCATAGAGTATGACTGCTGTTCTCCAGATGTGACTGACATTCTAAATAACATACTGAAATTATCAAAATGGTAGACTTGTCTGAATAGTCTTTCAGGATTTACATCATTGAAATAAGAATAAATTATGCGAGATCCTTAGTCCTTTGGAGTTTACAATCCAAATAGGTAGGGCCAAAAACCAAACAGTAGTTACTGTATATGTGGTAGTCCAGGTAATTTACCCTAGGTAAATTAACAGCAGTTCAATTTAATTTCAGATCAAGAAAAATATTTTTTTAGTATAGAATTTAAGATACATTGAGGTATTCTTTGTTGTTGATCTGAAGCTAGAATTTAACACCAGCCTATATTTTTGTGAAGTGCAGCAACTGGAGGTAGAGGAGAATTGTATAGCAGTTTGATCCGGCGGGGCGGGGGCCGGGGGGTGGGGAAGGATGCGGAATTTGACCCCACAGTGTTCTGAGATGTTTATGGAAGGCAGTGTCTTCTAGCTGAGGGTCGGCAGCAGGAGGGAGTTCATAGAGAGTCACTGGAAACCAGAACAGTATGTGGGGGAGACTGGAAAGGGAAGAGAAGCTGTGGAGTTGTGGCTAGGTAGTTTAGGGTTACTCTCCCAGCTGCTCCGGTCACCCGAGATTGCCACATAGCTAGTGTGTTGTTTCCTGGTGTTGTGGGGCCTTTAGTTCAGGAAGTCAGCAGTGCCCATCCAGGAAGGACTCACAATGGAACCAGAATTTCTAGATTCATAAAACACATGCTGTCTTTTCAGGCTGTCTTCTCCTCCTCCCCCCACTCCCCCCACACACAAAGTCAAGTAACAGTTCTCATGAAGACCGTGATTCAGAGAAGGTGTCACTCATGGGAGTATCTTTTGATGCCTGCCCCTTTTGGATGATACCTGTTTGTCACCTGCAGAGTCTTTGAGAAGTTAAATTTCTGTTACTGCCTCTCAGGAAGCAGATTGGCCTTACTCCTCTCTCCCATCTCTCCTTGCCATCTCCCAGCCTTGCTCATGCTTCTCCAGATACGACCGTGCTTGGAAGAAACTGCACATTTTCCTCTGATGAGGCATCTATCCTCACGTGTCTGTCCCCAGCAAACTGACAATCTCCCAAAGAAGCTAGAGCAGCCAGGATTTCAAGAGCAGATGCTTGAGACATCAGTAAGAGTCCTTGTAATTGCCTTGCTTGCCAGAAGGTCATTGTTAGTTTAAAATCAGGAGATATGAACTTGAACAGGGAAGATGTAAGACTTAGTGAAGGTAGAGTTGATCCTTGTAATCGTCCTGAGGTCAGTGCTGTCTTGAGGAAATGATGGTATAGGAAGGCAAGTTAACAATGGTCCTCTGATTAATTACAGGTACAGGCAGAAGTCCAGGTCAGAGCCAGGACTTCCCTGTAGTTGCACCATCGTCAGGGCGTATGTGGCCAGCTGATCCTCCAACAGAGGTCTTCCTGTGTATTACTGAGTTCTCCCCTGAGACTGGGAAGTGCTTTTAGATAAGAGAGAACATACCTGTGGTTCAGAATTATGTTGGGCACTGTGTAAAAATCCATGCCCATTGTCCTCCATTAACCTGCTTTGCCGGGTCCCATTGTTCATACTCCTGGGACAGTCTCGGCATCATCTTGATTAGATCATGGCATATTACACTCTCAGCTATGTCTGGTACTGGTTGAGAATGTTGTCTCTTCATTGACTGCTAGAGCTATAAGGAGCCAAGAAATCATCTTCCCACAGACCTGAGATTTTTTCTGCAGGACAGCTCTGCTGTCTGTCAGACACACATGACATCTGTGAGACACTGTCCGAAACATGGGGCTAAAAAGAATTAAAAGAATACACTTTAAAAACGTGGAAGTTGACAACAACAACAAATATATATATATATATATATATATATATATATATATATATATATATATATATGTATATATATATCAAAAAAATTTTAAAAAAGAAAAAAATATCATTTGAAAAAAAAATGTGGAAGTTAAAGTTTTAATCGGCAGCAATCCTGAGATCAAAGGTGGTATACAGGAAACACATTTTTTAGAATTTGGGGGCTTTTTTTTTAAAGTATGGTATTAAAATATAGCTGACAGCTATCCAGGAGTCTG